TTTTTTTTGCCTTGTAGTAGGTAACTGGTATTCTTTGTGTGAAGCTGACAGACAGTGGGGGTGCCGGTAAGAGTAGAGGAGAGGGGNTGGGGGAATAATATGTTTCACAATACACCAAATCAATTGGTCTATGTGTCTTCACATTAAGGTGGTCTACCCCTATTTGTACCTCCAGTTAGTTATAATTTCTAAATTTTTCTCAATGTAATAGATGCAGGGTGACCTTGCGATATAAGTCATTCAAACACATAGTTGTACTGAGTAAGATAATGCTAGAATATCTATGTTGTGACCTGAATAAATAGGTTGATAAGACAATGTGTCAACAGATAAATTATGGTCTTATATCTATTCTACAACATGATCAACTTTATATAATATATCATACTGGTACCTATATTTATCAGTTGCTACCCATTCTCTTTTTATCATTTTATATAATCAACATATTGTTCATATCCATATTTAGAATAATGTGACAAATGAATATGCTGGAATCTGTAATCTGGAATCAGTAGAATTTTTCACCCTGCCTTTTCTTCTGAACCTTGTCAAAATTATCTCAATATGCAATTCCTCAATTGTCATCTGCCATTAAATCTACTGTATTCAAGACTGTTTTATCAATCGATATAAAAAACAATCCAAACTTTTGTGAAGCATTATAAGCATTAATAGGTCACTGCCAGCCATCAAATTCAAACTAATCATATCTAACTATTGTAAGTCAATACACTACTAAAAATAGGATTTTGTTAATTGTGGTAGAAAGAGAGATGGGATTAACTGAGATTTGATATTCTTAATTTTTGAAATGTGACTCTTCCTTCCCCCATAATAAAACAAAGTCATACTGTAGAAGTTTAGACTGTTATCACTACAAGACAGTTATCAGCATTATCTCATGAAGGTATTAACAAAATCATAATTTCGTCAATCATAACTGTCCATGATCAATATCAACATGTTAGTGACAACATTACTGTAAAAACTTCCAGGATATGTTCTTGTTTAATTTTTGTGGGAACAGGCAATCAGATTCAAATCAACTAATGCAAGCTTATGTATTCCTTTAATTCTAAATTCTGTCAGGTATACAATGGAAACCTTTTAATCTTTAGAGTAAAGTATATCTTCAGAGCTGATTCTCTTTTCAAATCTCAGTCATCCATGACAGAGTTATCATCTATAGATTAAATATTGAGTGTTGTGGAATATACCTATATCTGCATTAGATAATACACTCTCAAATTTCCTCACAAAATCATCATGATCATAATCTGGAGCTGGAGAATCTAAACTCCTAGTTGCTGAAATAAAATATAGTTACAAACTAATATTAAAAACCTATCAAGACAATATTTATTTGTTGAAATCGAAAGATGTTAATAATAATATTGCCTTGAAAGATTGATACAGTAATTCCGTAGTTTACTTCATTCAAGGTATAAATTACAGGACATACACACCAACATCAACTACTTTCAATTTGCCACACTCAAACATTTTCATGATTATCATAATAATAATATTACGTTTTTGAGTTAGTGTGGTGAGTCCACATACTGAACAGCAATGAAAGAGTTATCTCCCATTACCTGTACAACTATTATTTCCATGCTTGTCATTAGTACATGGTTAATATCTACATTATACTGTCATTATAAAAGTGCAACAAACTGATCAAGGTGAATCATCATTGTAAATATTCATATAGAAATATTCTAACATTACACAAGTCATGCTATAAGGCCACAATTGTAGTCATTTAGATTTCATTTTGATTTCAACTCAAATGTCATGATGTATGAAAAAGGAAGGTCTACATGGTTTTCTGCATTTTTTTTTCAGAATATTATGTGACATAAAACCAAAATTGTATTTATAGTGTCTACAAACATGAAGCGGCCTTGCAGTTTGCAAAAACTCAAAAAGTTTAAACTCTAACTATTATCCGACGACACAATAATACACAAACACGTGGCTGCCTAGCAAGATACGCTCACTACCTGATACATTTTCAGTATATCAAGGGCAGTCACCTATCTGTGTCAAATCATACCAAAAATCTAATTTGTGCAAGATATTGTTGATTTCAACAAAGACACATTATTTAATAAAATTCTAACATAAACTGTCACCTCTATCGCCAACAAATTTTGATACATATTTACTAAGTCAAAGGCAATAACTAAAATTCCGTTGATCGAAAATTGTCAAATTCAATCTTGACTAAGATCTCATCATTATAAATGATCACACCAAATTTC